AAGTGTAGAGTAAAAGATCCCCCCCCATTCCCATGAGAAAGTTAACACCAGCCAACCGCTCTATACACATGCACATTTCCCCCCCTTTTCATCTCTCCTATCAAACAGGCATTTGGCAGAGTCATTTACATAGCAGGACAGTGTCCGACTCTGACAGTAAATCACCCAGAGCCTGCTTGCAGGCTGGGTGATTCATAAGTTTAATAAAATAAAAATAATAAATGCATAAATAGCATTATTATATCAATATAACAGTATAGCAATACTGCCAGTATAGCCAGGTCCTCTGCATTCCTAGCTTTCATTTTTTAAAAAAGTAAGTCTCTAGCCCTTTTCACTATGGAGATATGAAGCTTATCGCTACAATGGAAGAAGCTACACTTATAGTTTTGTTTAAAAAAAGAAAGAAATCTGGAAATGCAGAGAACCTGGTGTGTGTATTGCTATACTGCTATTAATGCTATTCAGTTGCTGATTTTTTTAAAAAAAATCCCTTGTGGTAAAGGAAGAAACAGCCACTGTGGCAGCCAAGCCTCATGAGAAAGCAGGAGCCTATTAACCCACTGGCTCTTTTCTGGCTGGGGTGGGGGGTTCTGCTGCCTCTGATGCTGGCAGCGGGGGAAAACCTCCAGTGGGGATTATGCCAGCATGGTACAGCTGTGGTTTGTTTGGTCCTTTCCCTTGTCAAATTGTAAGGGACATGGGTAGAGGGTCAGGTCTTTACAGCCATAAGCTGTTAGTTGACATCTCTCTTCACAAGGGAAGAGAGACGCCAACTAACAGCTGTTCACTGACCTAGCTTCCTCACTTTCCTTCCCTGCTCCTGCACTTCCCTAAAACACTCCCTCAATTACAGGAGATAAATTTCCAGGAGTAATTATTTCAGGAATAATTTGGGTCCAAAATAGCTAATTTTGGATGTCATTTCATCTTGGATATACTGGAATGCATGCTGATACTGCAAATTTGGTGTGTTACTATCACCATATTACAGATGGGGAAGTGAGGCTGGAAGACAGCATCTGAGAAATTATGAGAAATTTGAATTGGGGACAGCTCACACTCGTGCAGCTAGTTCACACTATTTTCATTGGGCTAAAGTATACGAGACACAGAAAAATCCGTCATGAGATGTTTTAAAATGGAAACTGCAGTCACTTAGAGCCATCAGAGGCATAACATCCAAATTGCAAGATCATCATCATCATCATCATCATCATCATCATCATCATCATCATGCAGTCAGTACAGCAAAGATATCATCATCATCATCATCATCATCATCATCATCATCATCATCATCATCATCATCATCATCATCATCATCATCTATTAGGTTTATACCCTGCCCTCCCTGCTTTACAGCAGGCAGATGTCATAGTCCCACTGTACACTGCATTGGTCAGGCTGCACCTGGAGTTTTGTGTGCATTTCTGGAGGCCTCACTTCAAAAAGGATGTGGACGGAATGGAGCGGGCATAGAGAAGAGCAAAGAGGATAATCAGGGCAGAACCTGGAAACCAAGCCCTATGAGGAAAGGCTGAGGGACTTGGAAATGTTTAGTCTGGAGAAGAGGCGGTTGAGGGGGACATGATCACTCTCTTTAAGCATTTGAAGGGCTGTCACGTAGAGGAGGGCAGGGAGCTGTTCCTGTTGGCAGCAGAGGAGAGGACTCACAATAAGAGTTTAGATTAAAGGCAAGAAGGTACCGACTGGATATTAGAGAAAACTTTTTTGCACAGTGAAATCAGCTACCTAGGGAGGCGGTGAGCTCCCCCTCACTGGCTGACTTTAAGCAGCGTCTGGACAAACACTTGTCAGGCATGCTCTAGGCTGATCCTGCATTGAGCAGGGGGTTGGACTAGATGGCCTGTAGGGCCCCTTCCAACTCTGTGATTCTATCATTCAGACTGAGGTAGTGCTGTAAAACCAGAGGGGGTCTCTCCCCCATGTGAAAACTGACCTCCTCCCTTGCACTGCTATTAGTCCTGTGAGGGGAAAACATTCGCACATGCCATCTGTCTTCCCTTATAGGGGTCATACCAGTTTGAGAGAGGGTCAGTTTCAGTGAACAAAACTGGGGCAGGGGGAGGAGCACAGGCAGGAGTGTTAAACCCACCATTCCTCTTCCTTGTGGCCTAGATACCGTTCAGAGCCCATGCCACTGTGGTTCCCATTTAAAAAAACCATTGAGAAGATCCATTCAGAGATCTCTCAGTGTCAAAACCAGTCTGGCCCATTGTAATTCTGAAAACATATAATATGAAAATTAAGTGGAGAGGGTCTTCTGCTTGCAAGCACATGCATCATACACAACTATTTCATCTGGGAACCAGGAATAGCTGTGGGTAGACTAAGTAAGAAATGCAGAGCTACTGGCAGAAACAGGAAGCCTGTGTTGAGTTTTCCACTTCTTCCTCTCTAATGTGCAGCACAACTTTTCCCGTGTCCTGATGATGTGCTGTTAATCCCCCCCCCCCCATGTCTGTGGCTGCCACCAGCAGGGTCATTGAAATGCACTGCAAAGTGGTGTAGGATATGGTGTGTGTTGCACACTGTATATGCTGTGGCATATGAGAATGTAACACAGGGTTGCCACTTCCACCAGCAGGCATGTGTTCACTGTAGTAGGTAGGTGAACCATAAAGTTCAGTGTTTCCTGCTGTGGAATGTGTGAGAACTTTCTTTGCTGCTAGGCTACACCAGCTGCCGCTACACTTGCAAGAGAGTAGCTTTAAAATTCATCATCCTTGAGTGTGCTATTATTGCCCTGATCACTCCTTTGGGTTAAGTGAGCAAAAGGATAACAGCAGAAAGAAGTGCATTGGTTGGGGGTGATGGTGAAATCATTAGCTGTTTGCTCAGCACTGCCTGGTTTTGATCATGTAAGTTTGGTTTAAATGTCAACGCTTGACGTACGGTTAAGGTTCACATTTGGTTTGTGTATAAAGTGATTCATTTATTTTGGGTAGAGAGTTGCATGAATTATTTCAGGCAGAGAGCATTCTTGACTTTACCCACTGGATCTTGGGGAGCAGTTATTTAAATTTACCTTTTGGATTTATAGGTTTCTGCTCCATCTGCTCTGTGATTGACTTCTTTACAATACCTCAGTTATTCCCGGTGAAGGCCTTTGGATGGGATGTGGTGGCTGATTTCATCCACAGTTGTGGGTGCAATTATTACCCTACATTCCTTTTTAAAAAACCTTTTAAGACCCATTTAGATATTTTTAAATGTTTTAGATCAATCTGAATAATAAATAAACAGCATGACTTGTGGCATCCCTTTATTAGCCATCAGAAAAAAATGTGTTGATCTGAAAGTGTCTCAGGTTCTCTACTTGGGCAGAAAGCATTTTGGCTGCTGTCATGTTGGTTCACTCATCTCTTTGATTGCTGAAAAATGGACAAGGAAGCCACGACATGTATATCTTATTAATCACATTTTTTTCTTGCCCTTCGTTCAAGCCACATGTTGATGCCATTTTAACGGCCCTTTATTAAGACTGCAAATGTGAGCTTCATAGCTGGGGGGTGATTTGTGCTTTGAATGCCACTGTTTTGCTCACCGCAATGGAC